AATTGCTTCAACTTTATCTACTGAAATTACAATAAAAAACACATACTCAGAAGTCCGAACATGCACAAAAACGATAGTTAACTGAAGATAGATAAGAGGAAAAAGACCATCGAAACCAAAACTTAACACCTTAGGCATAGGGGTACAGTAAGCTACTTATTTTTATATTAGTCAAAATTGGTAAAATAGCAACCAATTAATCAAATGTATAACTTAATAAAATTCAAATGACTTGATCAGAAACACACAGCGATGCACATATGATTCATCTGGTACAGTGGAGTTCTTTGCCAAAGCACCAACAATATCCTGCTTAGAAGTTTAGATCTAAAATCTTGCTGATACAGTAAGAAAAAACCGATAAGCAGAAGTGCAACAAATAAGGGCAAAGCACTTCAGAATTCACCAAGCAAGCTAAAAATGGCAATTAACAACACTAGGCATGTAACAATCCATTTTTCTTATACAATTAATCTATCCCTCTGTGATTAACTTATCCAGAGCAACCACTGACAAGACCAAAACCATAAACACCAAGAAGATAAAATAAACATAAATTTTATATTTGATAAAATCAAGCATGGAACTAGCAAATAATAATAGTACAGCAAACCTGAAAATTGCTTCAACTTTATCTACTGAAACTACAATAAAATACACATACTCAGAAGTCCGAACATAAATGTAGGCACAAAAACGATAGATACCTGAAGATAAATAAGAGGAAAAAGGCCATCGAAACCAAAACTTAACCCTACCATCCTAAGCGTATTCTAAGAGAAAGAGTCTGGAAACTTAACGGTCAGGACACAGAGAAAAGGAAACTTCAGGCAGATCAAGGTCCGAATTTCTCAACTAGATTCAAGAAACGGTAAACCGAACAGGAACACGGGATGATCATCGAACCCTAGAGCAGGAACGATAAGGGGACGGGAACCATGCGGAGGACTCTCACCCCGTTCCGCACGTCGCCAGACCAAGCTTTCCCTAACCGCAATCCAATCTAAGAACAACAGCATTTCTCGCTCGGTTTGGCCCGATCAAGAGAGAAATCAGGCTGGGAAGTGGAGCAGCAAGCAGGCTTCTTCCTCCCTCGCTCGCCTGCTCCCTCTCTCGCTCTCTCCTTCCGCTTCTAAAACCCTCGGTCCCCGGGCTTTTGGAAATTTCGTTCGGCCCGGAAGGCCCCAGATAACGTCAGTGGCCCCTCCGTCCTCGCATGGTTAGAGATGGTGGGACCCGACGATGTCTGGTCCAGAACGAAGGGTTTCTTTATACGAGTCGACTTAATAATTAATCGGGTAGAATTCCAATGCTGCGAAAACCTTCGATAAACGCGTATAAAATGGATGATTACGTCTCCTACCCGGGCCCGCACGAGCCCCGTCATCGAAGAAGACCCTGGAAACCTGCGACGTAATCCACGAACGGCGGTTTGGTAATTCCACTGTGGCGTAACGGGGGACAAGACTGCCCCACTTGTGATTGTGACACGTGGACGCGCCAAGTGTCATGGCCGTAAGTCGCCGGCTGTCGTCCGACCACACGCGTCGCGGCGCCTCCCCACGGCTTGTATGGCGTCCGTCTCCCGCAGAAATATCTCGTGTACACTCTACGACGGTCTCGCATGCCATGCCATGCCATGTGTTTCGTCCGTGTACATCTTATTTGTCTAAAATCGAGATCATAATTCTTCGACTCTACCGCGTGGGCTCATAATTCGTCACGCCTCAAAGAGGGCACCAACGATGATTAGTATGGGCCCGTTCAAGAATTAAAATAATATTTTTTTCCTCTGTTAGAATGTGATGAAACATAGCACATCATCATGATATCCATCTCCATAATCTTAAGATTTTCTCGAGAACGAGTAAAGAAGAAGAACCCTCGAGCCGTCAGCCGTCATTGTTGTACTATTGGATCGAACAAAACGAAACTTGAAGGCCGAAGTAGATACGTTAACCCAAGTCCAAAAGGATGCCCACCAAGACAAAAAGGGGCCCATATAGACGGTCAATAGAACACGAGAGCGATGACCGATTTGAATTATTAGAAACCACCTGTTATTATTATCTTTATATTTAGAGTGATTGTTTCTCTAGATTTGAGCTACGGTCATTTACAAATAATATTACATCATATTAAAAATGAATTGCACTGTGGATAGAGTTGGAAAGGGGCCGCCGCTTTGGGGCAACCGAAGAGCCACGCTGCCATGTTCCTATTGGAAAACAGTTGCTTGGACTGGAGAGCGGTACAATCACCGAATCAAGATGTAAGAAGAGAAAAGGGAAGATTTGCTGGTGGGAGGGGCAAAGGGACAGATCTCGAATGGAGAGTTCACAAGATGAAAGTAAAGAAAGGAAGATTTCTGGTCGCAGACTTTATTTGGTGGGGAGGGGCAAAGTATTTCTGAAGTGTATGATGATGTCCTTCGATCACACACACACACACACACACAAAAAAGGAATCAAATTCACTAACATAGACATTAATCTTACCATACCACAAATGACAAGGAAGTCGGAGCTGTGGAGAGGCGAATCAAACACTTGAAGAACGACGAGAACGCCAAGAAAAATTGGATGCAGCGTCGGAGTCACCATATCTCTGCGTGGCCTCCACCCATGATTGATTATATTCCCATAGCAGCCCAATTAACATCTTTTAAGGCCCACCTTCCTCCATTTCAATAGTCTGCCGTGAAGGACCAGAATCCGTTGAGCAGTGGAAATCGTTCCACTTGCCTGTTTTCCGACCGCAGCATAGTACCGGAATCGGAAATTTTCCGATCGGCAGCGCATGTCACACATGCTCTGTGAAATTTCATTGGCTATGCACAGCCAACCAGAAGGATCAGATGCAGTCCATGATTGCCAGCCACGCCTATATATACCAGAAGATGCAGCAGAGAAGTTGCAAGATGGATATGAGGATGCTCGTCGAGGGCTTTGCATGAAGAGGCAGAGAGTGGAATGCAGCCAAGGATGACTTGCCGGTGTCTTCTCTTCGAAGGGAGAGTGGTTAGTTTTGGTGTTGCCGGCAAGTTTGTCCTTGGCTACGTTTGGCTCTCTTCTTCTCATGTGAGGCTTCCGCATGATTCCGGCTAACACCAAACGTGGACGCTATCAACTCGCAGTGTCCGCATGGATTCGGTAAGTAGCTGAAAATTTAGGAGTCCGACTGCATCCAGACAAAAGGTGGTGCCTATTGTCTTGACATTGGGACGTCGAGATCATGGGAATTCTTGCAAATTGAATGGTAAAGATGTTAGAGGTGAAGAAAGAAAGGGCCAAAACATTGTCGAATCGATTAGAAAAATTAGAAAGAGGAGGAGTGCAGAGGTAATATTCGATGTTCATCTACCTGTATCGGTGCAGCACCAAGCTCCATTAACTTGCTGAAACCACCCATATCTGAAGCATATACGGCAAAGGAGTCACAATAGGAAATGCTGTTGGAAAAATTTTAGATAACAGTCAGTTTTCGAGCATAGTATAAACTATGAAGAAAAAAATACAAGGTAGAAACTAATTTTGGGTTTTGAAGGACACAAAATGGTCGGTATGTGGAACATAAGCAATAAACAAAGATCAGCAATTTCAGTGTGACAGAGTATGGACGTAACAAAATCATAGGGTTTGACAAAAATTATCCATGTGAGAATTTCTTCTTTGAATTTTTCAGCAAAGCAAGTGAACTTTAGATATTCCCTACGGCAAGGCACTATTCGAAATCCAAAAAGAGAGAACTTTTCTACGAATAGACCTGATCAAAGCAGATGGAATCTTATCTCTTAAACAGAGACAGCTGATTTCATCAAATCTAGGGCATCTTAAAAAGGAATTTTGCCTCCTGCTTTCTACGAGTGATGCGAATTTTTCGAGTTTCCATTTTCAAGCCATTCATATTCTTTTGTGGTCTGCCTTGTGTTGTTGAAATGTGGATTTGGACATTCTCCCCCTCTGGTAAAGCCCCCCCCCCCTGTTTGGAGGGTGGGTTTTAACATAAGAAGTAGCATATCAGTCAGGCCTTCTTATAAAATCAAGGTAGACTATTTTCTTTGACATGGTCGATTGGTACTGATTCCCTTGGTACCATCTCTTGTAATCTTCTGGAAATAAAATGACTATTGAGCTTAAATATAACACTGTTACATCATTCACATTTGCTGGGAGGCTGGTAGACATGCAAGACAGCCATACAGGAACAATGATCAAAGAAAGGAATGAGTTTCATCTTAGTTGTTCTTTGAGAACAACTAGTCTGTGTTTTTTCTATTGGTTGATGACAAATCATAACTTGGCAGCTAGATATCAATGCCTCTTAACTTTTTTTAAAACTTTGATGATATATCGTAATGCCTCTTAACTTATTTAAAAACTTTGATGATATATCATAAGATCCTGAACTCAAAGTCACACTTATCTTTTGTAAAAAAAAATTATTTCTAATGATTTTTTGAACTTCTTCCAACATAACCTCAAATTTTATAATAAAAATAATTTTAAAAAAAAATTAAACTGTAATTATAATATTTATTAATCAATTCATAATATTTGTAGTTACTGAAATATATCCAATCCAATTCAACGGGTTAGTTTTGATGAAAAACATATTTTTTTATAAACCATTTAAAAAATTAAATTTAGAAAACCTTATATTTAGAAAATAAAAATAAAACATTATACGAAAAATATGGAAACCTAAGACGGTATGAACTTTTTCTTGAAAAAACCATTCTTTTACATTTTTTAAATGTTTTATATAGAATATGTATTCCAGAATGAGGAACTCTTTATCATGACTTAACATTATTAAGACATATAAAGCAGTGAACATTACCTACCAGGGAATCGTTGACAAATCGAGACCGTTCAAAGACGCATTTGAGCTTGGTCATCAAAATTAATGAACCAAATTTATATGAAATCCTGAAAATTTATTTCCACGTAAGTCCAACTTGAACATCAACATGAAAAATACTCGAGTAAATTCACTGGTTGATCTGTAAAGAAGTTTCATACTTCGATTCGAAACAAATCCATTCATAAACTCGGAACTCTATAAGTTTGCAAGAGACTTATCCATAAGTCAACAAATAGTATAAACTAAATTAATAAGCATATAAATTAATGTACAAGTGATGGTGCCAACCTACGTTAATGCACACACAATGAGATACCAAAATAGGATCACCAATCTTCGAGGAGCTGACCAGCAACATCCTTGTAACTCACCTTCTTCTTTACTGGATTTGCATCAACGTTTAGCTTCTCCTTCTCACCATCAACCTTCTTCACTGGATTGGCATTGATATCTTGCTGCTGCTGTTTCTCACCTCCAAGACTGCAACTCTCGCCTTCCACATTTCTCTGGCTGAGACTTGGTACCATATCTAGTAACATAGCATGCAATGGATCTACCATCTGCTCCAACTTTTCGCCTTCCCCTAAGCGGTCTTCTATCACATGCATGCTATCTGATCCTACATCACTGTCTTTCTTTTTGTGCAGTTCAGCTGGATGCATATCTTCAGACCCAGTCTGACCCCAAACAAGTGTACCTCCAAGTGATTCACATGTTTTGGCACTCTCACCCTCGATCCTCGTATTATCATTGGCACTCTCACCCTCACCCATTATATTATTGTATTTTCTCGACTCCAGAGCTTCTTCTCGACCAGTTACTACTGCCGAATCGCTGCTCACTGATTCCTCTCTATCTATTTTTGCAGGTCGATTTCCAATTCTTGCTCGCATACGTCTAGTCGATCTTGGATTTCCCTTCCCTGTGTTTCTTTGTATAGGTCTCGCTCTTTTTCCAGTTTCATATTTATCAAGCAATGTTGAGACACTCTGGTTCTCCATGTTACTGGTTGAAGCAGGAAGGCCATGCTCACTGAAACAAAAAGATAATAACTCAGATTAAGATCCGAACACCAATAACAAGTTCAAGATAATTGCACAAGTGCTACTTTTTGCTTAATACTTCAGCCCATTTAAACAACTTGTTCATATACAAGTTGCTCACGAATGTTAATGCCAGTAAGGAACCCATATTTGTTTACATAACAAGCTTAACCACCCAATAAAATAAGTAGCATCCTTGAAGTAATTAGTAAACTATATGCTCTTCACAGTAAATAATACCTTAACCAATTTTGTGAACTGTCTTAATCAGACACCATTCGCCATCTATGTTATGATTCCCACATTGACACCACCATCAAACTCTGCTTACATAATCTTCTTGACAGATGATCTTGGCCGCGAAGAAAAATTAGATGTCAAACAAAAGGTTACTTTCTATATGTATTTGCTAACAAGTTGTATGTATAAATTTAAACAATACAGTCTGCCTATCTTCATATTATCTTATTAAAAAGTAAAAGCAAGTTCACAACAACCAAAGAATGTCAGTGGGAATAAAACAGTGATTTAAAATGCACTAGGCGCCAAGATCCCAAAACGCCCGAGCGAAGCAAAAAACTCTAAAATATTAAAATATAAAAAATATATAATATTATTAATCTAATAAATAAAGATTATTTTGTACAGTAATTAAAAATCTACTGTTAACAGTATATTATTTACTGTTAACAGCAGTTAGAAGGGAAGAGTATAATTATTAAAAGGGATAAAATCACCCAATGAAACTGATAGTGAGAAGTTAGAACTCAAAAGAGAAACAGCGGACAACCACGGCAGCGGACAGCAGCAGAGGCAGCGACAGCGAACAGCAGCGGCAGAAGCTGAGGAAACTCGATTGGTGATAGAGGAAGACTCGGAGGCAGCGGGAGAAATCGTTAGTGACGGAGGCAGAGGGAGAAATCGTCAGTGACGGAGGCAGAGGGAGAAATCATCAAGGTGGAGGCAGATGGAGAAAGCGCACGCTAGGGTTGGAAGTCGGGGTCGCGCGCAGGTTTTGAGGTAACTGCGTGCGTTACTTGGTTCAATCGAACCAACTAAAGCACATGTAATCAAACCCGATTGCCTTATATCAACCGGGCGCTTGCCTGAAGCGCTAGGCACTTGGGCTCGGGCGAGCACCCAGGTGGCACCTTATTGAAGTGCACCACCTGGCCCTTATATGAGGTGCTCGAGCACCTAGGCGAGCGCCCAAGCGCCTTTTTAAATCACTGAAATTAAATATGGCATGTAAGGTTATGATTTTGTATTTACTAATATCTAAACTGAGACAAAACGCTCTAGCAAAAGAGACAGAACTGTTACAGACAACTGTAGCAAAAACACAGTGGCCAACTAGTTACTATAGCCAACAGAAGGAAATTTACAATATTTTTGTTCTCAAGTTCTATCCTTTCCAAGAATCATTTTTCCGGAGGAATGCAAGACCACAGGAATACAAGAGAATCATTGTTATCAAGTGCTATCTTTTCCAAGATTTTTGTGATCAAGTTCCTTCTTTAACAAAGAAATGCAAGAGCATAGACACATCTAAATCACATCTCAAAATGGTTTGTTATGCATTTTGGAAAAGTGGTCTGAACGAAAATAGCAACAAACACCAGAATTTTCTTTGTTTCCCTCTTTGTGTAAATTAAATAGGATATATTAGCACCAAATATTAAATCATCAAAATACTATAGCACCCAAACAAATCAAACAAGTAACAAAATAATGATTAAAGGATTCACAAACAGAAGGCAATGGACATATATGAAAATCAGAAATTATACAGGTCAAACCATGGAAATTTATTCCACTAATCAGAATTAATGAAATTATAAAGAGTCCTCTCTAGAGCAATTAAAGAATACCAAATAACATTAATACTAATTCCTGAAAGAAATAAGTACACATTGGTTTCAGTGACAAACAAAAGAGAGATCAAATTTAACCAATAAGGACGTGAAAAAATAGAGTAGGAAGAGACTTCTTCAAAATCAATACCCATCATCTTGTAGAGCTTAGAGTCAAGAACAACATATCAAAAATCATAAAGTTCAGGCTTTAATCAACCATCTGATTATCCAAGTCTCTTCTCTCATAGAGCACTCTGTTTTCTCTCTCTGTGTTTTTTTAATTCTTGCACTACGTTAGGGTTAGGATTTTATTTATGTGAACCCTATTAAACCCATCGTTTGCGACATGGGTAAGACCCTCCAACATATATAAATTCCTAGAAAGCAAGCATTCACCAGGCTAGACTTGCATGTTATGAAAAACTTGAAAACCATTGCTTTTTTTCCCTTCTAATCTGAAGTTATATTTATAAGAAAAAAGTCTGAAGGGAAAGATCCACAACCGGTAGTTTCAAGGGAAAAGGAGAAACTAAAAATTCCAACCACTTATTTGACTTGATTTTGTGTCTTTATCCTTGGAAACATCTCCGGAATTTCTGCACTTGCATCCACATCCCGTACACTCATGTCTTACACAATTGCGAATTTTATATCGACACTTGCAACTGCAATGCTAAATTTACTCATTATTTTACTTTGTAACCTAAGCTATAAGTGCATAACATGTATGCATTACATAAATGCATATAACCTAATGTATCACATCATAGTGAAGTCTCTAATAACATTGAAGATCAATGGTTAAACCAAACTTATGAAAAATAAACTTACAATACTTCAGAGGCCATCATTAAATTCATTATTTCTAAAACTCTGAAGATAATTTTCACCAGTAAATTCTCAAGGATTTAACAGTTCTATGCAAGGATTCATCCCCTGTCGAATGGACATGTGTTAGTCATCAACCAATATGCCAAGACATGAAGTAACTGGCTGTCAGTATCCTGATTGTTCAAAAATTTAGAAAAGAAATTGATCTTATCAACAAGGTTGTGAAAAAAGGACACCAAAAATAATAGAAAAATCCTTCTGAGTGGCATACTTTCATCCATTAACTTCACAGGAAGAAATGCCAAGCCCCAGCATCTCCATGGCCAGCACAATCCAAGGTCTCAGAGCCAAAGGAAACTTATCAGCATGAAAAGGTCTAATGAACTCAAAAGTTTAAATAAAGGAGGAAAGAAGATTATTTGATGTTACAGACCAGCCATAACTTATGAGTTCAGCCAGTACGAGTGGGATACACATAAATTTCAGCCAGTATGCCCAATATGATCAGTTCTGCAGCCCACATTATATGGCCCACACAAGTATGCTTGCTACTCAGAAAGGACAAGGCCAGCCGAATTCAAAGTAAGAAGCATCATTGAATCTAAGCACATAGTGCCAATAAAATTACCTGTTATCAACTTCCAGATCTTCCAAGGAATCGGGATTCAAATTATAAGGATCCTCAGGCAGCTTCTTGGCCTTCTTCACAGAATCTTCCAGCCATTGATATCTCACTATGTGTAACTTCTTGCTATGCAGAAGATGTCTATGTATAAGTGGAAAGCTGCAGAAGCATACAAGTTAAACCAACTTCTGAGAAATCCATAATAGCACACTTCAGGAATAATTAGAAGCAATAGAGGTGAAGAAACAAAGGGTCCAGAGCAGATAGAAAGCGAAATTAGCAGAAAGAAAAGATAAATTCCAAGGAAGATTATAATTGTGAGGCACTGGGCATAAAGTCATGCCAAGAATCATGCCCACATAAACTGCAGCAAATGACTGTGCATGCATAATGCTCTTGGAAAATGCACATGGCACAGCAACAAGTAAATTCTTAGAAAAACAAGGCATGAGGCAGTAAAGCTTAAGAAACATGTTTAAAGAGATTACAAGAGACCGATGATAATCCAAAAGTAAAAAGGTATACAAGAGAGAGAGACAAAACAAAGCCTGGGCAACTAAAAAGTAAATCCTCACAAACACACAAGGTAAAATCTTGGATACACAAATCAATGTAAAACACTACAAGATAGAGATATTGTACTTTAAGTCCATGCAATAGGTTAATCTCAGAGCAACAATTACCTCTTATATAAGTGATCAAAGTTATAGCTTTCATTTGTCGAATAGACTAGCAAATGAGTAGCACGCGTAAGGCTGTCACAAACTTCACCAGCATGCATTGTTATTTCAAGTCTCATTCTCCTCAATGCAAGCTCTGATACTTCCTTGCAATCGGTATTTCTTAAGCGGCAAAATTTAGTGTCAGCTTGTGACTATGAAAGAATGAGAACAGTTTTCTTTATGATCTTTGTTTCATATTATATCATTCTCTGAAGTAGAAGTGATAACCACACAAAGCAAGTATAAAACTTACATGATAGGCAGTGCTTTAAAGAAGTAAATGCAACAACCTCGAAATAAGCACAAACTTTCCACTGGACAGTACTTCTTCCTGTAATACTCTACCCTGTCGGAACTTTCTAATCCAACAATATTGCTGAATATCTGGAAACACATTTAATAAAAGAACACAAAGTTAGACTCTTGGCAATGTGAAGCAACGAAAATAAAGAAGAAAAATCACTTTTTGTCTCTTTTCTTAAGCATTAGTCCATACTAAATAAAAAGTGCATCTAAATGACCAATAAATAGCATTGCAGCAGAAGCATACACCAATTGCAATAAAGCAGTACAAAATATAAACCACCAGATCAACGCCATTGACTTGCAAACGAATTCTGAGCAAATCAATAAGAAACAAATCTCAGTAATTATTTGTTTGATGCATTATGACATTGCTGATAGTCACAAAGCCACAGAATCCTTACTATTACTGTTGGGCAGGTAAGATAACTTCTGTCAAGTTCTAACCTGTTTGATGTCTGTGACGTCGAGATCCCAGTAATAATGATCTGAGAATGCATCAAATTCCTCCAGAATCTTTTTCCTTGAAGGACCGGCAAAAAACAGGAAGTACCTTTCAAAGTACTGTAGTCAGGCTTGGGAGCTAAAACCATGGTTTGCCGTACCGAACAGTACCGCCCGGTACGGGCGGTACGTACCGGTCCGACAGACTTTCGGTACGCGGACCGCCTCTTACCGTTCCGGTACTGTAGCAGTACTGCTACAGTGCTCGGCACACCCGGGTGTACCGGTCGGTACACCCGTACCGTACCATACCGAGTGCGGGTCGAAATGCCGGTACGGTACGGTACGGCGAACCTTGGCTAAAACAACCAAAAAGATAATGCAAAAGAAACTATAGCTAAAACTAACTTAGGTTGCAGATGAAGAAGCCGCTTTTGTTTGCAACAATCCAAGACCCAAGAATAGTGAATGACATCTCCATGGTGAACTGCTGCCTGGTATTTAATTCCTGCTATATTCATGATGAAAATGTTAGGCATACTACCATAGCGAGCTTCTGTCTGATATCTAATTCCTGCCATATCCACAACAAAAATGTTAGCCATACAACCCTAGCTCCTAAAAGAGTAGACCTTTCTTTTCAGCTGCAATGCAGTGAGTTACTGAGTCATTAAGATTCATGGAGAATGTTCCCCCATTTTCAACCACTACTTTGTGAAAGTAGTCCACAGAGTAGGAAGGAGGAATGTTGACAAAGTCTAATTATGTCAAGGAAGTGATCATTTTTAGACTTCTAAAAAAATGATAGAAGAAATGGAATCATGGAGAAAGTAGCTAAGTTACCAACTACAACTGAGACAATCAGCATACTGTTCCCTTATGTTTCAACTCAGATATATTTGTACTCAGAAAGGAAAAGAAGTTATGACGGGCAAAAGTCATCAATAGGATACAAAACACCATGTTTGCAAATATGAAGGTCTCCTCCCTAACATCTGAGGTGTCAGTTTGGATAAAATGAGCCGGGACCACAGTCACCTTCTTCCTCTCTCCTCTCCTTGTGTTTCTTGTGTGTTTTGGATTTTCATTTTGCAAGCCAGCATCATCTGCCCTCCGTGTATTTCCATTGCTCGATTGAACCAGTTCTATAAATGCTGAAATAGTTCAAAGTCAAAACAAATGACAACTGAAGATTGATGTGTTGATTACTATTAAATAATTTTGTGAAATGGAAGGCAGGCAATAATATAACATGTGAAGTTAGTTAAGACTGCATTCCCTAGGCTTTGTGCCTTAAAATCAACAATATTCCTTAGTGAAAAGTGTTATTGCCCCCTTCTTCAGTACTATTGACATATCCATGGGGACTGCAGAGCTTGTCCCTATAAGATGCAATTAAGAAGGTAGATATACCAACCAACAGTTGGACTCGTTGAGTCCATGTTAAGTACCTATTCTATCTATGTCACCATGTCTAAGGAGTAAACCATGACCAGAATCATGACAAGAGAAACTTTCTGACTTGTATCTAATAATGAATCACAAACCACATATAAATGTAACTACTATCAGATTATGAATCAAATTAAACAAAGGCAGACAGCACTTCAAGAAAGACCTAATAATTCAAAAATTTTAAAGATCATATTTAAAAAGATTTCTTTTACATAGAAAATTGCTGTGCCTACTAGTGATTGTCAAGATACATAACATTCTGCACTGTAATAGGATTAGCACCAAATGGAATAATTAGGAAAAATGTCCAAGAAATAAGGACTCCTTTCTAGATTACAGGATTTCCATGACAACATTAATACCAAATTTATAATAAAAAAAACCAATGGAATATGACACAATAGTTGGAATGTTGATTTTCATAGGTCCAACACACAGCCAACATAATTGGAAAGTGAAATTTGCATATATATATATATGGTCAAGGAATGCTTACATTGCACATCAAGACACTCATACCATGGCTTGTCATATCTCACCCGAGTAATTCGAGGGAATCTTAGACCATATGGTGCTGCAAACACCTTGGAAAATTAAAGCCATTATAAGTGACATCCTCGCAAAAACAAAATGCATCTTAAATAACACGATGAAGACAAAGGACAAAGGACCAAGGACTAGAATCACATATTATAAGTGAATATACCTCCAAGTCATGCAACATAGAAAATGTATATAGATCCAAGATGTAAATGGTAAATATCTTTGAAAAAATTACATGCTGCAAACAAGTTGGTATACCGAGAAAATTTTGCAAAACAAGCAGCAGATAACATAAGTACCTCTGATTTAACTGTTCGGATGTCGCTAGTTATAGAGATAACAATTGATCTGCATTTACAAGAGTGACTACTAAGAGTTTGCAAGACCATAGGCCCATTCAAATGGGAATGAAGAGAGAAAAGGCTTACTGACTTATCAGGGCTCTCAATCCAGACATCTGGCCTCTCCTTTGAATTATTTGTAACTTCATAAAAATGTGGTACTCTCTTTGGGTACTCATTTTTCCTTCAAAAATGTCGCATATAAGAATAATCTTACTACTAAATCTCCAAATTTGATATTATGAATAAAAGAATACTAAGGAATAAAAACTAGAACATCAAATATCAAATAGAAAGGCAATGGAAATCCTAAATTAAGCCTGAAAATGGTTGAGATTTAGATTGAATTAGAATCATGATGGACTTTTTCTGACACACTAAGAATGGTCCAATCCAATATGCCAACACTTCGGTTAATATAGATTACAGCCTCTGTCAAATCCAATTGATATCCAGAAACTAGTGCAAGATCTGAAAATAGTAAAACTATTTTTGACTTCCAAGTGAAATGCAAGTATTTACCTTGCAGACTACCAAATACAGAAACCACAGTTATATTCATTTAAAAATTCCTTGTTACAATTAATATCTTTGCTTGTTAGACGACAGCTAACAGATTGTCAATTAAATAGAAAGGAAAAAAAAAAATAAGAATAAAGTTAATCCATCACCTTATCTAAACTTAGTAGTAAAGTAAGTTGATCAAGCTTTAATATCTAAGAACCTAAACTAAATTTACTTTTGGGACAACAACTGATTGGATAAGCCCTCATCTCAAGTTAGGCCCTCTCTCTATTTGTACATCCTCCCAAAGCAATCAGAGGACATAGTGGCATGCTGATGGCCCTAAGTGAGAAAAAGAGAGAAGTACAAGATCTTAAAAAATCAATGGTAAGGAGGACATAGTGGCATGTTGATGGTAGGGAAAGGAAGGGAATGGAGAAGTGTTTTTAAAAGCGCTAAGTGCCGAGGTAAAACTCCCGAGGCGAAAGCGAGGTGCCCTATAATATTAAAATTTAAAAAACATATATTACAATTGATAAATATGATCATAAAAATAAAATGGCACATCAAATTAAAAACATATAGAGTACCAAATTACATTGTTCATCTTCTAATAACAAAATTATTAAAATAATGAAGTTTAACATCAAATTCAATAAAATATGCTAAATACGATTCTACTGGTGAAGACCTACGATAAACAGTGTTTTCAATATGGTGCTAAACAGTTCCAACTCCCAACAGAAGAACAATGCACCACCTCAATATGGTGCAGGAAGTTAATCGAAATGAGAAGAATGGACTACGAAGATAAGTAACCAACAATTGTGAAGGAAGGAGAGGGCAACGAACAGATGAAGCTGCAAACAAAGGCAATAATGGCAAACAAAGCTGTAAACGAAGGTAGTGATGATGGACGAAGGCGGTGACGACAAACGAAGGCAACAGCAGTAGACAAAGCTGCGGATGAAGGCGACGACGACGAACGTAGGGTTTCGCTTTTAGGTTTGTCTCACCCAGTCGAGCTCGAGGGCGAGGGGGGTTTGTGTTATGGTACATTAAGTGGTTCGATTGAACCAACTTGCTCGTTCAATCGAGCCATGCTCAAGCCCTAACCCAACTTGGCTCAAGGGCTTGCCTCAAGGTGCCTGGCGCTTGGGCTCAGGCAAGTGCCCAAGCGATGCTTCATTGAATCGTCTCGCCTCGACATTTTGTGAGGCGCTCGGGCTAAGCCTTGCCTCGCCCAAGCACCTAGGTGAACACCTTTTGAAGACACTAGGATGGAGTGGAAGAACCTCTGAGTAGTAAGGTAGTGGCGTCAGGCTGTTAGTTTATTTCTACTTAAGAAGTACTCCACAAATTTTCCGATTCTACTTCATCTGTTGTACAAAGTAAATTACACAAAGGTAAAGAAATGAGAGACAGGGTTGATTGGTACACAATGCAATTACATATACTTATCCAATCATATCAAAATATCCTATCTAGTTGGATTAGATCGCAGCTTAATCAGCTCAAGATCCAATAAATTGACAAGCCTACATTTGGCAACTGTAATTCCTGAGTTGTAAAGTTTATTTATCCTAATCGAGTCATGTTGACAGTTTTCAAACCCAATTAGACCAATTCATGGCACAAAAAATTTAATGATCCAACCAAAAACCAGCACCCAGACCAACCAATTTCGCCTAGTCTGATCTGAAACTAGGTTGATGTTTGTTTTCTTTTCTTTTCTTTTTTTTCACTTGATAGCAATAACTATCTGTTTTATTTATTTATTTTCCTCATATTCTCCTCTCCTCTCCCGGTTCTCTCTCTCCCAACTGATTCTACCTCATGGTGCCTGTTGCTGCCTTGCCACTACTGCTTCTTCCTTCTCTGATACTCTTCCACTTCCTTGTATTTCTTCTCCTCCCCCACTTCTCTACCTTTTTTTCTCTTTGGTCTGCTGAAACAAATGGCACCATTTTGTGTGTCAGTGCGCCAATGTACCAAATGGTCTATATAAGCAAGGATTCCCTTTCAGGTATCGGACCCATTTCGACAATTTGTCAGAATGGGGTGTCTATGCCGATATACGAACATTTGGTACATCAGTGCGTATTGATGATTCAACGAGGAAGAAAAAGAGGGGGAGAAGTGGAGGGGGCGATGGAGGAACAAAGGAGGTGGGAGGAAGGAAGGAAGAAGGAAGAAGTGGAAGAAGTGGAGGAAGAAGAAAGAAGAGGAAAAGAGAAGCAATAGTGACGAGGAAGCATCGAAGAAATAGTGGCGAAGCAACGACAACGAGGTGGCGACATCTTACACGAGAAAAGGGTCACGTTTGCAAGCCCTAATAATTTTTTTCTTTTTTAACATTGATTTTGAATAAGGTCCCACCATTTCTTTGAATTTTTTATTAATTTAATTGGACCACCCGAAACGTGATGGTCTACGTATCGGCCCATGCCCAAACCAATATGTATTGCCCATACCATACTGTTTCGAGTGGTATAGCAAACATTGTATAAAAGATATACAATGCGTGTACCTTAATTATCTTAAATAAAAAGAAAGAACTATAAACCATGGTTCTAAATCTTGGATACCGAACCTGTACTAGCTCCCCTAACTGGTATGGGTTTTGGTAGATACCACAGTACCAAAAGAAGGAAGGAGGAGATGGGAGAAGCCGCCAGCTGCTATCATGCAGCCAAAGTCCCAAGAAGCGTAAGCTAAGAGAGAGAGAGCAATTTGGAACCATATAATGGTCTAGGAAAAATGTGGAACTTCACCACAAAAAATCATAATAAAAATAGTCAAACTAAAGTAGCAAAACATTGCACCAACGACTGCCATGCTACCAGCATGCCCTGACAAGCTCCTCATCATAGAGTGTGATAGGTTAAAATTGGCATTTCAGTTGACATCAACCACTGTACTATTAATAAAGAGGAGGAAACTGGAAAAGAAAAAGGAAAAAAAAGAGAAACAAAACTATATCTTTCTCCTCTTCATTTCTCTCATTATCAAAAGTCCAAGTGACACCTAGAGTTTGAGAATCAGCTCTTAACATCTCTTTTTCTCTCTTCATTGTGTGCTGCGGCATCGCCTATGATTTCAAGCTTGAATTAAGCTAAAGCTTTTAGCTACTCAGTTTGGAGAATTTTGACTGGTTCAAGTCAAAACAAATCACAACTTGTCACTAGGCCTCAAATGTCAAGTGCTCAAAACTTGGTGACCAGCGTTCTAGTCCCTAATTAGACTGGCATAAAACACCATATTGGGTTCATTTGCTGCAATAACCCAATCCTTGCACCAAACCAAATTTACAAACCTCAATAACACTAATCACTCTCCTATAGATTGACACTTACTGGTTCTAATAGTTCCATACATTAAAGAGATTGTGCTATATCACAAATCAAGGTTCTGAATACCATACCGTACCGGTGTTCCGATCAGCTGTTGGTATGGTACGTACCAAGCGTACTAACATATGGTACACTAAGGTATACCAATGTACCGCCCATACCAATCTTTTATCGGACCGGTACATACCGTCCGTACCGAGCGGTATAGTACGGTATTGCAAAACCATGATCACAATAAAGCAATCAGCTAACTCTTTTATATTAGACAAAATTTTGAATGCTAGCAATATTAGCCACAGAAATGGCAGAGTTGACAACAAGATCTGACTAAGAAAGTTGAATAAAAATATACAAACATAGAATGTCAAACAGTAACAACAGTCAACTTGGAAGAGCACTATTTTTGGAACCGAGGCATCTGCATACCTCATAAACTATGAGCAAAAAGAAACTATTATTTTCATATTAGAGGAAGAGGGAAACGATCAAAAGAACTCGAAGAAAATAATATAAAATTAATGAGATCGAAGAAGTTCGTTTTCTCAAAGGGCTTGCTGCTGCCAAATGGCCACTGAAGCTGCACATGAGGGAAAACACACAATTTCAAGTGGTTCTATAGAGTATTTCTAGTGCATTTTGTCATATCAAAAATACCTGCCAACAGTTGTAATTTAAAATTAACAGATTAACCAATCAACATCAATCTGTATTATCATGTATTTAATCAAAGGGATAAAACAATTAAAAATGTGTTGGATTGAGCTCAAATTCCAACTTCCCCTCTTTAAATTCCCAGCAGGAGTTCTATGATTTTTCACCTTCTACACCAGTGGCAAGGAAAAGAGAAAAGAGAACGGAGATCAAGCATTCTGCGACAAGTCATTCTTTGTTGGCTTGTTTTCTTTTGCAGTAAAAGAAGTACCACAACAACAATATTAAAGTAGAAGTGTAAAAGAGAAAATATTAACAACAATATAAAATCTTATGCCAACACAAAGTACATCATGACACGGCAAAGATACCTGAAATAAGGTTTCAACTTGGCAACTAGAGCATTTAATTCATCATTAGAGAGCCCACTACCAACTCGACAAAATGAAATAAATCTGCATATAAAGATTATATAAGCACAAACTACTATGGAATTAAGGGAAGATAAAAAATAGATGAAAGGCCACATTCTGTCAGACTGCGATCAGTTACACAAAAATGTTTCCAAACCAGTATATGGGTTTTGCAAGGCATGCTGAGTATGCTTAAAAAAAGGAGATACAGAAAGGCCAAAATAAAGGAAGTAGGATAAATTATCACAATAAGATATTTGAGTCACTCGCAATCCATTCTACATTATCACTACAGAACATCCATTAGAGAGAACAAAAGAAAGAACCAAAGTAAACCCAAGAGCTTCCTAATATTTCAAGGACTCTAAAACATAAGCTAGACCATCCTTTAGAGAAAAAAAAATGTTTATTTGCTTAACAAAAAGTTTCCCCTCTTCTGAGAAAAATTTCTAAGAAATTTGAGAAATATAGGAAACATGTTTACTACTTGAAAAGAGAAAGAGAGAAAATTATGTTGTCTGAAAACCGGTATTGGGAACAGCCATTTCCTACAATAAATTTTGTGAATCCACCTATCTCTGATACTGGCATGGAACATAAATCACTTTCATGGAAAATAAATAATCATTTATAACAACAACATATATACATAATCAATGTGCCATGGTAAAACAATTTCAGCAACGTATAATATGCAGAATGACACTTGTTAGAAATGAATGACTCATATATCTCTGCAAGAAGCATAACAGACCAAAAGTACAATGATCCATATAACAGCAACTAAAATTTTCAAAAAATAGATATCTCAAATAAGCTTATCTCATGTCTGGCATTCCAAACAAATGGTACACAGAGAATCATTTCTATTGCCCAGTGTCCTAATTCGAGCTTCAGAGGCATGCCCATGATCTACAAGATATGCAATATCTAACAAAGCACCTACAAGCAAATGGGACTAAGTAGCTATCCCAATCAAGCAGTAAGATGTGACCTAACATAAAGGAATGATTAATAATGAATCTCAAAAGATAGCAAAAGCATGACCAGTATTGATAACTAAATGGGTTTTTTTCTTTTTTTTGGACTAGCAGCATGATAATTTGTACAGGCTTTTAGTTGGCAAAAGAAGGAAAAAAATTGAAGTTTTTATTCACCGTTTTGGATAGCTAGTATGATCTGAAAGCTCCGCAAGACCTACTAGAAACTGAGATACCTGAAATGAATCATAGATAAAGATTTATCTCTATCAGCACTTATAAAAGAAGAGCTAGAAAGAAAGTTTATGGAATTCAGTATCCATCAAACCACATATCAAGAAGTAGTATGGACCACAGAAATGGAAACAAGAATATGCAGTAATGTGCACTTATCAGCATAAGGCATTTAACCAACACAAATACTGAAACTTCATATAGAAAGGTGTTGTGCAAAAATGCAACTACAAATGAACTCACCTCTCCTCCTCGACGTCCAGACCCAAAGTAACCACCTATTGCAAATAGCCTATTCAGTTTCATATGGTTATGAAAACAGCTCTGAAATATAGTAAGGACTAGAAAAACAAACCAATAATAAGAACATCTAGGTCTGAACCGGCATGTATATAATCAGGTTTCAGCTTCAGCCATTTTCCACTCCGATCACCAGGTTCCCATTTGGACCCAAGGTCCTTCAGCACAATTCCCTCATCTCTGAGAAATATAAAGTCAAGGATAGATATAAACAAGAAATATAAAAAATGTACAATAATTCATTCTGAAAGAACAAAAGTCAACTTTGCTTGAAAAGCCACTCAAAAGTTGACAGAACTTTGAAGGCAGCATCCAAATTATAATCATATATTATAATTCTACAAAATGTCCATTTTACAGATCTAGACATGTTAAACCTTAGACTTGACATTCCAAAACAGAGAATTAAGATTCCTTAATTGTAGGATTCACACATAAACTGGTTGATTCACTTAGGTTTGAGTAGGCTATCTTACATAGTCCAGTCAAACACCAGTTGCATTGGTGCACACCGATCTATATTTTATCAGTCCAATAAAGAACCAGCACTGCACCAAATGGATCGGGATCAATCCATATTCATTTTTTACCTTTTCTCAGTCACATGAGTGACACAGGTCAGTATACCCTCCCAAAGTTTGACTGACAATGTGTCAAACTGGTATCAAACTAAAACCTTAAACCTTGACACAGACTAACAGAATTCCCGAAGTTTGACTTCCTCACATTAGTTCTTTTGGTGAAAAATTACCCAGCAAGCTTGCTAAATCAGATATAAAATAAGAGAAAAAAACCATTTATGTAACATGTATATCTTTTCATACCAACCCATTTGAATTTATCAAAACAAGGCCTAAAGCAAAAGATTTTCTTCATAAAGGGTAGTACCTATTCAAATGAATAGTTATTTCACTCGTTTTACTGTACCGATGCGTACCGTCCGATACAGGAGGTACATATAGGTCCGACAAGATACCGGTATTCGGACCGTCCTCTATCGAGTGGTACCAATCACTTGACCCGTATCAGGCGATACGGGGTCTGTGCCGGGCGGTAACGATCGAATACCGATCGATATGCTCGGATTTCGACCGTTACCGACCTGTACCAATCAATAACGATCGGATTTTGATCGTTACTGATCAAGGGCTGAGATTGCCCTATTTCGAACAGTCAATTTGACCGTTTGAGACTTAGAAAAGGGTTTTTAAACTCTTTCCGGCCCCGTCTTTCAACTCATTTCACTCTCTTAATCTCCTAAACTCTCTCAAACTCTTTATCACTCACATTTCTCTCTTATTCTCACTTTTTCACTCTTTGAAACTCAACAAAGCTATGATTTATAAATTAGATCAAATTTAGGAGGCTAATTTAGGAAGATTAAGATGAAGAACACTCTAATCAAGAGGTTCGTATTTTCTTTCTAGATTTTTATTGATTTATGAGATGATTAAGCCTATTCTATGTTATGTATGACTTAATGTCTAATATGTTGTTTGATACATTTTTTTATAGTAGAATAGTGTTAATTAGGGAGTAATTAATTCTTTAATGTTGTGATTAGTGTGTTTAATATTGATTTTTCAAGTTAGACACTTAATAGATCAAATCTTTATATTTCATGCATATTAAGGATTGGATCATATGTTTATGATGGTATAATACATTTAATTAGGTTTTAATTAAGTTTTTAATACTATGACTAATGGTTTTAATGATGATTTAATCGAAATTTGATCAGTATTAGGTCAATTTATATTATTTTGGCAAAAATATATGAAATTTATATTTAGTTCCAACTTAAAAATCCTAATCTAACTTTTTTCTATTTTTCAGATATTTTTGGAGGTTTTATTTTATAATTTTGGGCGTACCTCGACGTACCATCAGTACGCCTCGGTACGTACCATACCGATTAAAGATCATTATAGACGAGAGAAAAGGACCATCTCAAATTTTGTTATTGGAATAAAGATATGATATACAAATCTAACAAAATAAGTAATTACAAGTCCAGATCTAGTTAAGTTCTTATGCTTTAAGCTTAAGATTGACAAAAAGGTATGTCATGCCTTGAATCATCCACTATATCTCTAGATGAGAAAGAACAAATTCAAAAAAGAAAGAACTATGAAATGCTAAACACTGGATCCAATTAACAGTCATTCAAAAATGAGGCCAATTTAACTACATAAGGCTCTTATGACCTGTTCTCAATGGTGTCTTTGAAAAACCTCTCCACATCTTCCACATTGTAAGCAACAGTAGACCAGAAAGGTTGACCTATAAAGTCAACAAATTGAAAATATCATAATAAACACTCAACTTAAATTGGAGCGGTAGCATGAATATATAACAAACAATATTGCAGAAAAAAGGACAGCCCATTGTGCAATTTCCCCACCAACTAATAATTATCTCATCCCCTAAAAAGAGCAACCTTAGTGGAGTGTCACTGATAACCCTCTATAAAACAAAATTGCATTACATTCAAACTAACGCGCAAGTGCATCCAATATATAGCTATGATAAACAAAATAGTGCATACAGTTGTTGCCACTAAATGACTATATCGCACATAGCCATCTTACCACTGATGCGTGAACCGGTACGCAGACGGTTCACACAGACTGCCCCCATTTCAGGCAGTCCAGTCCAGACCATTAAAAAAAATTAAAAACATACATTAGGGCTCACATTCATAAACCCTCTTCACCCCAAACATGAACCCTTCTCATTCTCCTCATGCAGCTGCCCGTCGCTGCCCGCCTCTCGCAGGCCACTTCCTCTTTCTCTTCTTCTTCCTCCTCCCTCCTCTTCCACCACCGCAGCCTCTCCTTCCTCTTCCTCCCTCCTCTTCCTCCACTTCCACCTCTTCATCCTTTCTCTTCCTCATGCTTCCTCCGCTCCTTCCTCTTCCCTTCCTCCATCTTCCTCTTCCTCCACTGCACCAAACAGAGAAGTCAAAAAAATAAAAAAATAAAAACAATGTCTTTGAGCTAGCATAAGCTCCTGACTAAATTTTACATTTCTTTAAAACCAGCAATCTGAGAAGCAAAATTAAATGGAAACACTTGGAGTGTATAGAAGTTATTTGGAGATTTCAATGAGTTTAAATTATAATCAATCAACACAGCTAGAACATTAAGGAGGTGAACATGGCACTATTTGAATTTAGAATTTAAACTAAACAAAGTTATCCTATATGCAGGAAGCATATCCCAGAACAAATAGGAACAATAGTCTCAGCTTATTCGACATTCAGATACTGGGGAATCACTTGCAACAAACGCTTGTTAACCCACTCCTAAATTTTTCGGTCTTAGCAAGGAATACACTTGGGTGAATCAAAATCCAAATTAGCTCTGTAACTATCAAAAAGCAAGATACTCTTTTAGAAACTACTAAAAACAAAATCTTGTGCTACCTCTATTACAAGCTAATAAATAGCAAGATGCTCTAAAAAATAACATGACCAGACAAGGTTTATGATCATGGTCCAGTGTCAATATCAGTCAGCAGCAAGACCAGTAAGATTCCAGTACATTCTGATGTATCAGCACTTAGGACATGTCAGTTACCAGATCAAAGAGAAAGAGTAGCGGAGAGAAGAGGACAAAGACGAAGGCAGAAAATGAAGCGGAGAAGGTGGAGAAAACACGGACTTGACACGAGGAAACTAGAACCTAGATGATGGACATGATGCTGAGGGATGGAGGAGACTATGACAGCAACGCAACCAAGAAGAGGAGGCGGTGGCAATGGCAAATTATGGGAAAAAATATGAGTGAGAGAATGTGTGCAGGAGAGAATGCATGAAAGAATGAGAGAGCTTGAGAACCAAAGAATAGAAAAAAAATGGCATGGTCCCTCACGGTTGTTAAAAAAAAATTTAAAAAAATGATTATATAAGTACCATGCATTAAAAAAAATAAAAAAAATTTCTGCCAGGAAGCCTGTTGGGCAAAATCACCCATTCCTCACCCCAGTTGGCAACTGGACTAGTAAACACTAACCAATACCGGCCAATAGAAACAGTGTTTGATACCTTGCTGTTACACATGCTATACAGTGGATATCTTTAGTAATGTACATCAACTATTTAACTGTCATGTTCCATTTTCTCATTGTTTTGTCGTATGCCTATCAAGGGTCACCAAAATGGCAAATACCAATACAGAAGTTATTACATATACTGCCGGTGCTTAACAGCAGAATGCTGTTGCGGATCACTGTGCAACCCATGCAGAATTATACAAGTTATTATTGACCTGCACCATGCTAGTTATGCTCAACATGATCATCTAAGTCTCGATGACTACATACACCTGGAACATGCTTGGTAGCCGGTCAACCTTCCTTTGATCTAGACCTTCAGAATCTGTCTAATCCATAATATGTTCCCTTGTATTAAGAGAGTGAGGAGGTTGAAGAAATGCATAATCAAAAACCCGCTCTGGTTGATGATTACACATCAAGATCATGTGCATGTCTGACTGATTTTCTTATTTTTGTAATACTTGCAGATGATAAACAAAGAATCAACAGACCCTGAAAACAATGGCTGATACTCCCATTGGTGCATATGTCAGTTTGTATATATTGTTTATTGTCTCCAAATTAGCAAACTAGATATTGGAAACTCAGTTAAGCATGTCCACAAGTACAGTAAGTACAAAATCTAATGAACAATCTACATATTGGAGCACTGCATGCCCCCATTCCAACAATCATGTGGGTCAAGACCCCAAAAATGAATACTCAAAACTTGCCCTGGAGTGGGTAACAACTCATATAAATCAAAACCTTACCCACATCCGACACAGATACATTTCCTGTAAAATTTCAGACTGGCATGGCAGGAATTTTGTACCACTTTCATGTCAACTTTTACAACTATGTTCAATTATTACACTAAGACCTTGGTAGTCAACAATTATCTCTAGTGTTGCTTAAATTGACGACACAAGGAATTTATGAAAATTCTTCAAAATGTCAAGCTTAGTTGACGGTTCTCAAACAGATAGCAGACTTAAATGCTTGGAGGTGTTTCCACTTATTTTATAGAAAATAAGACTAATGTATTAAGCCAAAGATATGAAGCTAGTTATTGATAGTTCTAAAGCTTTAGAGAACAGAAAATATCATCATAAATATAAATTTAAAATATTGTTGACCAATTATGACATTAGCTATGTTAAAAGAGCAAAAAATAGCAGAGATGATAATCTACAGTTATTACCATTTACTAATTAAAAGAGATAAATCTTAAAAAGATCCACGTAGCCAACCACCAGTAATTAGCACACAACAGATTATTGTTAATTGGTTATTATATCTTGAAATACTCTAGATACTGAGAGAATGCACTAAAAGATACAACATGGTTTCCATCAAACTGAGACTGTAGAAAATAAAAGAAAGATGTCAAATCGAACGAATGATCCTTCAGCATAAGTGTTCCGAATGATATGGTCCAAGCTGTTCAAAATCCATTTTAAGAACATAAGTTGCACGGCTGTAACTATTGAAGTGGAAGAAAACTACAAAGCCTTGGCCAATGATCAAGGGGGCAAGCAAACAGCATTCCATATAAAGCAAGAAAAGATGTCATGATCAATGGATTTCCAAATTACTGGTTTATTTACATGTTCTAAAGTTTTTATAACCATCATCTTTTCTGGAAGATTATTCAAATGAAGCTCATTTCAAAATACTTTGTTTTCAAGCATTCAATCTTAGACCATGAGTCAAGCATTTCCTATAATGAGGAAGTCTATTGCACACATATTTCCTTTTCTGAAGCATCATTGAAAAATGATTTGTAGAGAAAAATGTTAATAGTATAAAAGATGAAATGGATAAGTCACCCGGCGGACGATGATCGTTAATGCCTCCATCAGGAACCAATATTTCTAGGCGTCCCTTCACGGGTTTTACAACTTTTTGCAGGAGACTGTGTCGCTCCGTCAGACTTTGATGAATCACACTAGTGTCTCCGACATAGAGAATATCAAAAGCAATATCTACAATGGTTAAGTTTTAGAAATAACAATTACACAATAAAAATTAAACCAAAGCCAATTAAAAGCCAGGAACTTATATTTAACAACTTAGAAATGCTCAGAAGAAATAACAAAAATCCACCAGGCAAAAACTGAAGCAAATAACAAGGTTTGCAGAAGTGTCCATGCTTTCTAATATATATCAACCATGATAGACATAATAAAAACCAACTTTCAAATTAGCAAATATGTATCAACCATGACAAACTTCCAAATGGCTATCTCTGCATAAATGGGTTCTGAAATCACGCAATCAGTCCTCGTGGAACAATGTTTATAATGTTCAGGAAAAATACCATAAACTTGAAATCAATCCTCATGCTACTTGGATTATGCAATTTAGAAGCTACATTTTTCACCAGTGTAGAACTTCCAATCATCAAAAATGGAACCAACTTCTGGAATCCAGAAAAATAATGGATACAGCACAACTGCATGTAGAATAAGAGAAATCAATTGGCACAAAATACTACACAGCAGACAAATACTATAGAAAACACAATCCTCATTTCTTAACCTGGCGATTGCTCTCCAATCCTTCCTTTGCTGCCTTTGCTGCAATAAAAAAGGTATTAATAAAAATGCCAACAAACAGAAAGAGACATGCAACAATGTGCAATAACTGCATGAAGCTATTGAAAGACCTATCTCTTGATTTGAACCAAATTCTGCAAAATGTTGAGTAGCCATATCCCAAACCAGCATTTCACCATCCAATATACACCTAAATAGCATCAACACCAAATATAATACTGTTAAAATACCTTATTGTTAACCTCATGCAGAGCATCTGCAAACAAAATATGTAACAGTTTGTATATTGACATACCAAAAGACAGAAACAAATAATAAGTTGTTATTCATAATCTGATTTTTGTTATTCATAATCTGCACATAGAAAATGAATGCAGAACTCTTAGCATTTTAAGGAGAAAAAAAAACACAATAATTACCTCTGAACCAGTATGTTCTGTACAATAACATTCGACATGCCATGTGCATACTCAGGGTGTTCGAGGAAGTTCCTGACTCAAGGAAGACAAAGGTCATAAGCAATAGAGATCCTTAGTGTTCTTGATTAACTGTAACAAAATTGATGAGAGAGAAAACAAGTACGCTAATTAGACACACAAGGCAATGGAACAAGATACAACGTAATAGACCAATTACTACACATTTTTGCACCAGAATTGGTATGTGTCAGAACAAACAACATTCAATAACCAAATATATTCAACCAGGCAGCAAGAAGTTACACAATTTTTTAAAGATCTGAGAGCACTACCTTGAAAAAAAGTGTATTTCCTCTCCATTTTTGTGGATTTGAATGCGGTCACCATCAAATTTACACTCAACAACAACATGCTTCCCATGAAGCTAGACAAACAAATAAAAAGGTAATCATTAGAGTGGACTACAGATACATATCAAACGACAGAAGTGTGTTCATGATCAGGAAAAAAAGCATCAGCACAAAGTGATTAGCTTCATGCTAAAAGATCAATAACTACATAGAAGCAAAAAGGTGAAGAAGACTAAGTATGAGATGAGATCAAAGCAAGTCTCAGAGATGACACTTCTACAGATCCTGCATACAATAAATTCAAGGATGTGGTATAGTGTTTAAATTCCATAACAAATGTTGCAAATAATAGTAAACTGTGAATAAGTTGCACTAAGAACCATTCATGTATAGTTAATCAAAGAAAATGAGTCTAACTAAGTCAAATATTTTACTAATAAATTTTGAAACCTTATAACAATCTTCATACATAAGAAAAGGAAGCTTACAGTTGTCCTATTAGAATAAGAAATAGACAGTTTTAAAGTCACTCGTTTTCAACTACAGGCTTAGAAAAATGAAAATATACACAAAAGTATACACGCGAGTCATGCAAAAATAGAATTAAACGAGGGTCACAGCATGCATATGAAGACTTGAAGAGGCAAGGACATGGCACAACATAAACATTCTCCAACATATCGTAAACACACAAGCTGGAAACCATGCAGAGAAGGCATGTTGGTTATCAAGGAAAAACATGTATTGACTAGAAAATTGTTTGTTTACAATCACCGCCGCCACCATAATCTTTTATCCATCCACATGGTCGCCTAGCGAGCATCAGACAATCCAAAAAATACCATGGAAGATTTAACAAATTTGACAACCATCTCCCAGGCTAAATATCAAGGCAAACAAAGATAAAGACAGACTAGCCAAAATCCTAAAGAAGTATATTTGCACACAGAAAGCTTCCCTCACTGGTTGCAGCTTAAGTTCAATAATCAAGGATCAAAAAATTTAGATCAATTGTATCTTTTGGTAAATATACATGGAAAATGGAAAATCATATGATCTACAGACGAAATAATTCCATCTCGAAACTAGACGAAATAATTCCATCTCGAAACCAGAAAAAGGCAAAAGGACAACAGAACAAACCGTTAATAATAACATGATCATTAATTTGAATCCAGTAAGACACAATGTCATCACCTTAACATACCAATATGGCTGCAATGGCATGGAAACTTTACGAACCTCAGGAGAAAGACAAGGCATTATAAAATAATGCAAGATAGAAACCAACAAGCACCACAATGATAGAATTCAGATAAAGGATCAAGGAAATAGAACAGAATACTTAATATGCATATACAAAAGCAGTGAGGAGGATCTCACGATCTGAGAATAACATAGGACCTAATTATAAAGGAGCAAATTATATAATCTCAGCACCAACCACATTTTTCCTCAGCTGGATAGAGCTTGCACATCAGAGAAACTGCTTCTCCTGATTTCGTTCTTTGATGTAATTATATCAGTTATAGCTACATAAGGAAAGAAACTCAACTGGAGACCTAGGAACATTTCCTGTTATAAGTAACATCTTGTATCAAAAAAATTCATTATTGTAACTGTACTTAATTGAACCTTCCTGTCTTGTATTATGTGTAAATACTAAATAGGAATTAACATGCATCACCACTTCTTTTCTTTGCCATTTTTTTGTTTGTTGTTGTGCATGTGTGTGTGTGTCTTCCTTAAGGGGCACCTGGATCCTGTACATAAAGAAACAAAAAATCCTGCAAATACAACAAAAACTGTCCACCAAAAGATGCGTTGGACAAGGAAACTTGCACCCGAACATCTGAATAGTAGCATGCATCATCAAACAAACTGATGAACTGGATATGAAATTATCAGTACAGAAAATGGCAAGAAACGGGAGAGATTATAGCATCTTTTGCAAGGCTAAGGCAAAAGAGTACCTTCTTCCAGGCAGTTGTTGCATCACCGACTCTCATAGCCAACTGTGGTCTAACAGGTTTTCCGACTTCTATATCCTATCCATTGGCAATTAATTTCAATCGTCAACAAGTAACAAATTCAAGATCTAGTTAGGTAGGAAACCACATTGGTACAGAAAATAAGATGAAGCACCCAGATCATGTAAACTAGGACATCTTATTCCGAATAGTTCTAGAAAAGATTTGAACTCAATGGACTCACATGTATCTCAACTTTCTAGGAAACGTGGTGCAAAACAAGTAAAAAAATATTAGCACAAGGTACCCTATGTTTAGTGTTTAATGTATTGACTTCTCAAGTCACTTCAACCATAGATCAGACAGAAAGAAACATAGCTTAAACAGCCATAATCCTCAGGAATGAAACTGGTAGTGACATATAAACTTGAAACTGTTCAGAAGTTCTCTGCCAGAGCCATGATGTTTGGTTGTCATACTCAAGGATTACCATGCTGATTAGCATGAGCTTCCACATGTCAGAATAAACTATGTCAGAAAGGCTTACTTAAGCTCGCTTTTGTTAATCCTACTCAGAAAGAACAGCTAGGAGATGATTAGCTCCAAGTACCAAAGTCCACAGCTCCCATGATTGCGAGCTGCGGCTTGCTTGTTGACATGCTACATGTCGACTTACATCAGAGGTTAGATCATGGCCTATGCCAAGACATTGACATGCTACATTTTGACTTATGTCAGAGGTTAGATCATGGCCTATGCCGAAACTTGTTGACATGCTCCATGTTGACTTATGTCAAAGGTTAGATCATGGCCTACACCAAGAATCGAAAGGCATGCTGATGGGCACGGCAAGGAATTGTGTTGTGGAAGAGGCATTGGCACATCGCTATGCCATTTAAACGCAATCCTTGATTATACCAACCATAATAGGCACTACAAATGAAATGAAATGCATGCCCTAGTAGACTATAAAAGAGCACAGAGACATAATCAAATTAGTAGTTATAGCTTGCAAATATCTTTCCGGTAAAAAGAGGAATACAAGAACCTATTTGACTCTGCACAGAAATTGATTGATTTGGAGTAGGCCAGCACAGAGCCAGAGACACTAACATTCAGCTAATACAATGGAGAGAAGATAAAATAAAAGGGAGGTTTGATAGAAGTTCAGTTTGATGGTCAAAATCTGATTCCGACAACATGAAGAGCACAAAGAGATACAAAAGTATTTGTAGCAATTACCCTCTGAATGAAAGTTTCCGTAGCAATGTGGTTTCCTGCCTAACTAGTAACTTAAAAAAAAAACTTAAAATCTTGGATTGCTCTACATGATAAATCCTACTACTACTGAAGAAAGTTTATACAGTGTCACAAATTTCTTTTGCAAGCAATATCCAACATCTGCAATTTCAGATTCCCATACTGATCCCCCGAACAGATCCAAATGACATGACCAATGAAAAAAAGGTACTTTGCAGCAGACAACCAGAAAGGTTACAAGATTGTATGGACTATGCAACAATTCCTATTCTAAAAACATCTAAATTTATAGTTGTTTTTGCAGAATCTTGTGCCATCCGCCGGCTATCCAAAGCAACCTTTCACATCACTGTTGGTTTTGAACAAAATTGTGGAAAGGATATACCAAGACGCAGGCACCAGAGTTAATATGTTCCAATCATGCAACTTCAAATAGTTGTACAGTTATAACACGATAACAACATCAAATTGCAGCAAGAATCACTTGTCCAGATAAGCCTGATGCTCTTTAAAAAAATTGGTATCTTCGTTGTTTCTCAATAGGAATTATTCTACTACTTTTGCTGTCCCAAACAGAAATTATCTTATTGTCCATCAAGTAGTACATATGTTTGATAAACATGTCATGCCTAAAGCTGACTACAGAAGCATATAGTTATTCATGTAAACATGATTAGATTCCATAGTGCAGAATCAAAAGATTCAGATTGTGTAATAATCAACCATTTTACAAATAACAATTTCTTAGACATAACCATGGATTTTACACTAGCTCTTTTGTCATCTACATCATTTGTTTGAGTAAATAACGACTATACACAATTACATAGCCTTTAGAATTTACCTAACAGAAGGCCTAAAAAAGAATTAGAAAATTTTGGTTCTGCGCTTAAGAGAAAGCATTACCAGCTGTAATCGCATACTCATTGAAGAGTTCTGGCTAGTCTATGACACATAATAGACAAGCTCATACTTCTGGGTTCAAGTATTTCCTGGATCCTAATAAATTTTAAAGACCCAAAATTGAAGCAAAAATATTAATTCATTAATTATGTAGACATGAGATGACCTTCAAACAACCTGTTTCTTTTGTCGTTGAGTGTGATCTTTCAGCTTTTCACATACTAATTTAAGGTCACAGGTGACATTGAACAAATCTTCAGCATCAGGATGAAATTCATGAAATATGCTCTTTTCACTAATTCCCAGCTTTAAATCTACACACAATTTTAAAATGATTAGTTCCTTTCAGTGGAGGGGAAAGGCAATAACTTGTCATAAAGTACCTTTTAAGATGATCATCAAAATCCACTTCATCTCCAACGCATTTGTTTTCTTGATGAGACTTGACAGAATCACAGCCTTTTCCCCCCTGTTGATACAAGGTTAAAGAATGTGATAAGCAAAACAAATAAAAAATGATTGAGAACATGAAGACACAAAGTAATGACCGGAGATAAAAGGTTTCATATGGTGACAGCAGATACTTAAATAAAGTTACATATAAATTGGAATTTGGTGCAGTAAGAATCGTAGGTCAACATGGAGTTCTAGGACCACCTGTGACGCAACAGATGCCTTCATCAACTTATCGCAGTTGACAAAAAAAATATATGACATTCTGTTGTGACCAGAAAGAGAGGCCGATTATCATCCAACAAGCGTACTTTCTCTTCTAATAAATTGGCATCAAGGGATATATACAAAATTGGAGTATCCAACATGACTAAAATCAACAAGTAAATAGATCACAGTTCTAGCTTTGCACTATTCTTTGAATCCAGTGCAAAATGCATGAATGACTTTTCAACTAACTGTCTTTCTATGTACATGAATATTTGCACCCTAATTTTCCATGTATGAAGTACCTATTTTCTGTTGATGCCAATTGATCAAGCAAATTGTTAAGCTCCCTGATTGTAAGTCCGCCAGAAACCATCCCCTGCCTACGTTGCAACACCTGAACAACAAAAAGTGGAGTTTTTGCAAGCATACAGATATGAAGAGAAGAATTTCAACAAGGCAACAAGCTCATAGGATATGGAGGGTATACACTACCAACAAATAGAAATGTGAAACAAAAAAAGGATACCAAAAATTATTCCAGAAGAACACGCTGTTTGATTAATTATACCAGAAATTTGTTGTACATTGCAGAAAGCAAATTATTCAAGGATGGTTAACTTACAAAAGTTTGCTTGATGTCAGGCTACCCATTCCCTCACTACACAATCATGGCCATACTTGAACCTAACCGGACTTACCACATTTGTGAGCACTAGGACTCTGTGGACTGCCAAAACAATCAAAATTGAAGACCGAGAAAAGTTCATAAGTGTACCACCCGTAATCAATGGGAACTAATCAAATGATAAAAACATTTTCTATGCAAAATGTAACAAGTTATGCATTTCAAACTTTAAATATACAAGTCAAGAGAGGCCCATCCTATGCATGGTAATATAACAATATTGATTTCATCAGGCAAGGAGCCGGTGCCAGCAAAAGGATAAACAAGTCAACTCCAGTCAAGCACTCTTGACAGTTGAGTCGAGCATAGTTCACACAGAGAGGGACCAAATAACGTTACTTGGTTCAATGCATACCATTTACTACACCTACAATTCAAGAATCTTAGCCTACATGCAAAAGTTTGATTTTAGATGGCAAGAGATACGCCACAAAATATTAATCTAAAAATGGATGCAAAAATGTTTTGTTTATGACAAAAAGGAACATAAAGAAAATATACCAAGATAACCTTATAAAGAAAATAAATCCAATTTATATTCTTCTCTAATTAACACGTGGATGAATGAAGTAATAGAAGCTATGCATTAAATAAATAGAGTGACTGAAACTATTCATCAACAACAGGAAGTCTTTCGGCTCGAAACGTATTTCTCATTCTTTTTTTCTTTTCTTATGCAGATTTGATAGGGGAGCCACTGCAGAGTCAACGAGGATACGGACGGTGACGCCAGCCGTCCTGTGGCTGGTCAACCAAAGTGACTTCCCTCGGGCAGTAATGGCAACACGACGTGACACGACGCCACCTGCGCGTGGCTCACACTCTGCCCGAGTAAGCGGGCATTAACGCCGACCCGACGCCGCCAACGTCACCCGCTCTCAGTCAACCGCCCCGTCGCCCATATCCTGCACGCTCACCCAAATGCAGAAGGCGGCGACCGAGGCCGCCCATACCCTGCGACAGGATGGCCCGCCACGCGACCCTAATTGCAATGTCACATCCAGTCAGAGGCACGACCCTGCTCTGACAGGAAGGAACATCAGGTAGTATCAGAACCAAACTATAAAGAGCCCTGAGCCCTAAAGGGCCCAGGGAGAGGGGGACACCAGTGACTCGGGGGGAAATCCCCTTGACATCCACTAATTAGACCGTCGGAGGGGTCGGGCCGAAGATACGGTCCGACCTTTGTGCAGGTACACGGCGATCACCCCACCTCGACGCTGGGGCTAGCCATTTCTCCAGACAACGTCCCGATCGGACTCCCGTGAACGCTTCTCCAAAAGACGTCAAGAGGCCCTGCCATCGATCCCCGACATTCCGAACCCTTGAACCGAGCCGTACCGTCCCCGAAGTCGCGGCTTAAACAGGTGCAGTCCACATCAGATTGGCGCTAGAAGGAGGGCCCGAATGTCGAGCGATCCTCACGCTGACCCCGTCGAGTCCGTCGCCCACGGAGATAGAGAAATGCCGACGTCGACGCCGGATCGTTATTGGCGCTTGTTCAACGACTCAGGGATGCCACCCCCATTACCCGCAGTCGGCCCCCCGGCCGTACCGCCCGAGGCGTTTTTCGCCCTCGCCAAGCAAGTGCAGGGAATGGCGGAAATAATGCAGACCGTTGTCCCACTTATTCCGGAAATCAGGCGGCTGGCGGACGCCTCCGCCGACCCGACACAACAAAGGCCGAGCGCGGGACAGGATGCAACCGGTGAAACCCGAGACGGCGCCGTTCACCGCGAGAGTTCGCCCGCGCGCGATTCTCCCGCTCCCTCCCGAGCCGCGCGATGTCACTCCGAACCCGACACCGTATCATCCGACTCAGCGGACAGCTTCGTTAAAGTACAATTCTCCCGAGTCAACCGCCGCCTGGACGAATTCCAACGTGAACTCCAGAAGTCACGTAGCGAGTCAGGCGAGGGCCCCTCGGGCGGATCCCCTTTTGTCCAGGAAATACAAGAAAAATCGGTTCCCCTCAACTTTCGGGTGCCGGCTCTGGAAACATACGATGGCAGCTCCGACCCAGCAGAGCACGTCGCCGCGTTCAGGACTCAGATGGCCCTTTATGGCACGTCCGACGCGCTAATGTGCCGTACATTTCCGACCACCTTCAGAGGACCAGCACGTGCATGGTTCAGCCGACTGCGCCAATCCTCAATCGCATCTTTCGACCAGTTCGCCAAGGAGTTCGAACAAAACTTCCTTACCAGCGCACGGCCTCAACCTTCCATAGCCGCCCTGCTCGCGCTATCGCAGCACGAGGAGGAGACACTCGCGCAGTTCGTAACACGATTCGCCACGGAGATCCGCGGGTACCCGGATACTCACCCTTCTCTGATCATGCAGGCATTCCTGACGGGGCTGAAGCCCTCGAGGTTCTTCTGGTCACTAATCGAGAAGCCGCCGACCACTATCCCCGAGATGCTCCACCGTGCCAGCCAATACGTCGCCGGCGAAGCATTGGCCGCAGGAAGATGCACGGTCGGGAAGAAACCGCGGATCGAGCAACCCCGAGTCGCCACCTCGTCGGTCAACCCGCAATCCCGTCGGAGGCTCAACCACCCCGAGCAGAGGCTCCCGAGGCCTCCACCCCTCCCACTCAACGCACCTCGTACCGAGATCTTCCTCCAGATCAGGGAGAAAGGTCTTTTGCGACCTCCAAATCCCATGAAAGCTACTTACAAAAATCGGTCGAAATACTGCAGGTTCCACCGAGACCATGGCCATGACACAGAGGACTGCCACGACCTCCAGAACCAGATTGAGGAGCTGATCAGAAGGGGGTACCTCGGCCGTTATCTCAAGGAACCCCGAGAAGCAACCCCGCGTCCCCGGATACCCGTCGAAAGGCAGATCGATGTCATCATTGGAGGACCGGCGGCGGGCGGCAGCAGCTCGAGCGCAAGGAAATCTTATGCCCGGAGCTCGATCGAGAAACGCCCCCGACCCGAGCTAGAACCCGAAATCTCTTTTGGGGCCGGGGAGGGGGAACGTTCCCATCATGACGACGCTCTGGTAATCTCCATCCAGATCGCCAACGCTCGGGTAAAGAGGGTAATGGTCGACACTGGGAGCTCCGCCGACATCCTGTACCTCGACGCCTTCAAGAAGCTCGGCTTGCCCACCGAGGACCTTATCCCCATGAGCTCGGCACTCACGGGATTCACCGGAGACTCAATCTCCCCGCTCGGCACCACCACACTCCCTGTCACCATTGGGGAGGAACCAAGGACCAAGACAATAATGACTACGTTCATGGTGGTCAACCTGCCCTCGGCTTACAACGTCATCCTCGGCCGCCCAACGCTCAACAAGCTGAAAGCGGTGGTCTCAACCTACCACCGAGCCATCAAGTTTCCCACCTCGGCAGGGGTCGAAGAATCACGAAGCGACCCAAGGGAGTCAAGAAGGTGCTACCTTACCGCGGTCTCCCTCCCGAAGAGGGTACGCCCCCACATCCCAGATCCCCGAGAAGAGGCCTCAGCACCAACGCACCTTGAACCCCCAGAACAGCTTACCGAGGTGCCACTAAAGGGAGACCGGCCCGGTCAGACTGTGAAAATCGGCGCGGCCCAACCCAAAGAAAACCAGCTCCAGCTCATCGAGTTCCTGAGGAAAAACGCCGACGTATTCGCATGGTCGCCCAAGGAAATGCCAGGGATCGATCGGGCGTTAGCTGAACACCAGCTCAACATCAATCCCGAGGCCAAGCCTGTGAAGCAGAGGCCACGGAAGTTCGCCCCCGACCGGCAGAAGGCGATCAGCGAAGAAATCGACCGACTAACAGAGGCCGGATTCATTTCCGAAGTAAAGTACCCCCAGTGGCTGTCGAATGTAGTCCTCGTTAAAAAGCCTAATGGAAGCTGGCGAATGTGCGTTGACTACACTAGTCTCAACCGGACGTGCCCCAAAGACTACTACCCGCTCCCGAGGATAGATCAGTTAGTCGACGCCACCTCGGGTTATGAACTCCTTACGTTCTTGGATGCATACTCGGGCTACAACCAAATCCACATGGCAACGAAAGACCAGGAGAATACCGCCTTCATCACCGACAAAGGGATATATTGCTACAAGGTAATGCCATTCGGCCTAAAGAACGCTGGGGCAACCTACCAGAGGATGGTCGACAAGCTGTTCAAATGCCAAATCGGCAGGAACATGGAAATATATGTGGACGACATGATCGTAAAGAGCAGAACCGCAGAGACGCACCTGGCCGACTTGGCAGAAACCTTTCAGACCCTCAGGCAATTCAACATGCGTTTGAACCCCGCGAAGTGTGTCTTCGGGGTAAGCTCGGGAAGATTCCTCGGCTTCGTCATCCACCAGAGGGGAATAGACGCCAACCCGGAAAAGGTACAGGCCATAACCCGGATGCACTCACCCCGCTCCGTCAAAGAGGTGCAGCGCCTCACGGGGAGGCTGGCGGCACTCAGCAGATTCATATCCAGGTCGGGCGACAAATGCCTGCCCTTCTTCCAGGCCCTGCAACGAGTCAATAACTTCACCTGGACCCCCGAGTGCGAAGGAGCTTTTGAAGACCTAAAGACGTACCTCACCCGCCTGCCCCGACTCGCTTCCCCCGAGCCAGGAGAAATCCTGGGCCTTTACCTAGCGGCGTCAACGCAAGTAGTCAGCTCGGTACTGGTCCGAGAAGCACCGCCGAAGCAGCAGCCTATCTATTACGTCAGCCACGTCCTCGCCGGAGC